TAAAATAGTGAAAGGTAAAATTGACTTTTCACATGTTTTAAGGTTATGTTTGATTTGCAAATTTCATAAGGGGTGTCTCTGTCCCAAAATAAAATAAGCAAATTCCAGGGTGTTGCTGTACTTAATTTACCCAAAAAGTATTAGGAAAAAAAAAAAAGTAGTTTTGAACAATATGAGTCGACTCATGTGACTAAATCCATACAAGTCTGAGGAGAAGGCAATTAATTGTTATGACAAGTAAACATAACCAAGTTCAAATGAATCACACAAATATATAAGTCACAAAATCTATTTGCATTGAAAGTTGCTTCAATTTTTGTTTCGTAGAAATTGAGCAGAAGTGTTTAGTGCACAAATTTTATATAGAAGGTGTTTTTATTTTTTACTTTTTTCTTTTTCCTCTCACTTTATCCTTTATTTGATCAAAATCTCTCTTTAACTTGTCTAATTGGTTAGAATGTTTTAATTTGCGAAAATGATAAAAAGCCCAAAATTGGGAAAGTCTATTTAGCTCAGTGCTACTAGATGTTATTATTATTTAATAGTTATGAACTGATGGTTTTTTCTAGGGGTGTAAATGAGCCGAGCCGAGCTTTGGCTTGTTTGGGCTTGGCTCGCCAAGTTTAGAATGGTGCTCTGGCTTGTCCGAGCTAGATTTAGGTAAGCTCGAGCTCGACTCGCCAATATTTGAACGAGCTCGGGCTCGGCTCAATTCAAGCTCGCATTTCAGAAATTTTCTTCTTAATCATCGTCATCTCTACAAATCATCTCTACAAATCAGTCTACTTTATCATCATCATCTCTACAAACCAGCCTATATTCTTCACCGACTCATAACTCCATCAAAAGTAGGAAAAAAAAAAAAAGGGTATAAAGAAAAAGAACATGGATGAGAGAGATGAAGACATATCTTAAAGAAGGAGTTGTTGTCAGAGTAAGTTTATCGCATCAATCACCCGTAGATTAAGTGGAACTGCAATTGAGAGGTCTCATGGCGTTACCAAATACCAAGCTTATTGTCCTAACAGCTGGTCTTGGCTAGAAAGACGAGAGAATGTGAAAGTGTCTATGATAAGTTGGTAAAGTAATGGGTTAGTTTGATGCTTCATTTGCTAGATTGCTAAGTAGGAATAAACATGGACACATGTCATTATAAGGACATAGTAAAGAGATTGCAAAGAGATAAGGTGGCACGGTTTTTTAAAGATAAGGCTTTCAAACTTGATTTGTATATTATTATTTTTTTATGTTTAAAAAATAAGTTGATGGCTTTTAGTAATCTATATATTCATAAGAGTTTGTAATTTACAATGTATACGGGCCTTATATGAGCTTGTGTTCACGAACACAAATGAGCCTAAAATGAGTTCATGTTCACAAGTCGAGCTCAACACTGCTCAGGCTCAGCTCGTTTAATAAATGAGCCTATAAATTGAACTCGAGCTCGGCTCGATTGCTTAACGAACGAGCCCGAGCCGAGCCCAAGCTGTTTATGAACAGCTCGGTTCATTTGCAGCCCTAATTTTTTCTAGATTTCTTGTGCTAATGTCTAATATGGTCAGTGGTCTTCAATGGCGTGGTGAGGGAGCAGGAGGGACACGATATATATACGTGTGTGTGTGTGTGTGTGTGTGTGTGTGTGTGTGTGTGTGTGTGTATAGATAGTATATAATAATAATAATAATAAAGTATTTAGGTCATTTTACATAATAATAATATAATTGTAAATTTATAAAGTATTTAGGGATAGTTTAGTCTTTTTACCTAATTTTTAAGGTTAAAAAGTTTTTTGACAAAGTGAAAGAGTATTTAAGTCATTTTACATAGTTTCAGAGCTCGGACGCTAACGGTTGAGGTGTGAGTGTGAGTGAAAGACGGAACAAACATTTGTAGTGTGGGTACTGGGTGATAGTAATTTTCAAAAGATATTTCTAACTGATATTTGTCCAAACCTCAAGAGGTGTCACTGAAATTAATCATAATTTTTATTTTAAATAACTATATTATATATAATATTTAATTTTTTATCACATTTTTTCTTTTCAACTTCCTCTATTTAGATCTTATTTTTATTATATTTTAACTCTTTGAAGAATTAATTTTCTAAGATTTTGTTTGTAATTTATTAAAATTCATTATTAGTTTTTAAAACCTTTTGTGCTTAAAATTAATTTACAATTAAACTAATTCAAAATCATATTAAACTTTTAGTGTATAAATTAAACTGCAGAGATTAACTCGACTTTCTAAACTAGAGTAAGAATGTCAACTAGACACAAATTCTCCTTCACTTTCTCTAGGATTGATTACACTGACACTTCCAGGTTTGACCAAATATCACATTGAAACACCTTTCGAAAATAACTATTACTCACATTACAAACGTTTGATCCGTTTTTCACCCACACCTCATGCGTTACTATTCAATGGCGTCAGATCACTTTTTGCATGTAAAATGAAACTATTACCCTTTTGACTTTGTGTTGACTTGCTAAAAGATTGTCTCGTGTATAAAATTACTTAACTACCCCCCACATGACACCAAAATGCCTAAAAATTGACATGTCTCCCTCCTCTTTTTCTCTCACTAAGTGCGCGTGTGTATATATATATATATATATATATATATATATATATATATATATATATATATGTGATATATGCATATATACAGCAGTGTTCAGTTGCTCTCTGATGAGCAAGAAAAAGTATGCTCATTAATATAATTTTTGCACTATTTTAGGGAAGTGATATTATTTGAATTAGTTATTAAGTACAATTGAAGTAAAATTAATATAATAGGCAGTTTCATAAAATAAAATAAAAATAAAAAAACAAGTTTTGTTTGACATAGCCTTTTAAGATTTGGTTGAGTAACCGTGAATATATCTCTTCCATCGAAATCATATATGGTTTTTTTTTCTTTTTTTTTTTTTTAGAAGATAAAAATTGAGGAAGAGTATAACAAAAAAAAGTTTATTTTTTCTTTTTTTTTTTTTTGGCTAATCTTATTTTTCTCTATCAATTAAACACGTCTTCAAGAATTTATTACCTAATTAACACCACATGAAAACCTTTTTTTGAAAGAAAAAAGTTAAGGAAGAGTATAAGAAATTTATTTATTTTTTATTTTTTGCGTTTGTTAATCTTATTTTTCTTTATCAATTAATCACGTCTTCAAATCCTAAATGAATTAACTACATAATTAACACCACATGAATTTTTTTATTTTTATTTTTTTTATTTAAAGATAACAAGTTAAGGATGAGTATAAAAAACTATTTTTTTCCATGATATGGAGACATATTTAATTGATAGGGAAAAATAAGATTAACTAAAAAAATAACAAATAAATAAATAAATTTTTTCTTGTTATATTCTTCCTTAACTTCTCATCTTTCAAAAAAAAAAAAAAATTTGTATATGATTTCGATGAAAATAATATTCCTCTATTCACGTATAATCAATCAAATCTTAAAAAGTTGTATCAAACAAAATTGATTTATTTCTTTTTATGAAACTGACTACTATTGTCATTTTATCTTAATTGTAATTAATTACTAATTCAAATAATATCAGTCTCCTAAAATAGTGTACTACTATGCATATATATATCAGTTATGGTGTAACGAACTTGAACAAAGTTAATATGTCACATATAGGACGTTACAACGAACCATAATATATATATATATATATATATATATATAACTCTTTCCATCTCCTAGAATTATAGCAACCCAGCAACCAAAAATGAAAGGAAATTGAATTAGGCTAACTAATTAAAGTGGTAATTGCCATTGCATTTTCAATTTGATCACACTCAACCAAATAAAACTACAATTTCAAAATTAATTAAGGGGGGTTCTCTGTTGCTCCAAACCTCCAATAAGTTCTGTAGTATGAATTTAATTTTAAATATAATAATGCAGTAACTCCCAAAATAATTTCTATAATTGCAAATATGGTTATATATCATAATGAGAAGTCGCGTGTCACAGACATAAGCAAAAAAGGCATAAAACAATAAAGCTTCAGGAAGTAGCAGTTCAAAATTGGATGCTATACTAGAGTACAAATTGAATCCAAATTTATATGTATATTTTCATGATTTAAACCTATTTCATCAAAATCTTCTTGATACCTAGTATTTAAATCCAATTTTCTATATATATATATATATATATGAAGACAATGAAAAAGAGAACGGAAAGAAATCATGATCCGAGTAAACAATACCCAACTTTGTTTAATTGTTGACCTGGAATATTTAATAAAAAAAGATCTTTGTGACGAAGACAAAAATGTACAGAAGATCCAACAATGGGACCCACCACATCACTTGTGATAGGTAAGACCTCACGTAAGAGTAACAAATGAGGTGTAAAATGGCCATTTTAGTTATCTGAAATTTTGAAAAAACATTAAATTAAAAAATGACAAAAATGTAAAAAAAAAAAATCCTCAAAAGTGAAAAATAATCCCGGACCATTTCAGGCTACAAATCAGCCCATTATTTATATAAAAAGTTACAAAAAGTACCCTTTCAACCACCGGATCACATTTTTCAACGTTCAGAGGTCAAAATTATTAAAATACTCATACTTATTAATTAATATAAAAGTTAAAGTATAAAATATCATAAATATATAATACCCAAAATACCCTTAAAAAGTCATCTTGCAATTAATTAATAATTCAAAAAGATTTATGAGTTTGAGAGAGTGATATTTATTTTTAAAAAGAATTTGAGAGAGTAAGTAAAATTAACCTTATTTTTTTTATGTATTAGTGAGTTAATCATTTGGGAGTGTCACATCACTAATGAACGTGATGCCCAAGGTAACACAAAGAACGTGATGCCTAAGTCATACAAAAGTCATTAAAAAATCATTATTTGAATTCATTAAAGAAAAGGTTTAATAATGATTTCTTGGAAAGCATATGACTAAGATTTCTTTTATAGTGCCATTTTTACCCCATCACACAGTCCAACTTGTCCTCCCCTCTAATGGATGTCATAAAAAATTCAGATACAAATTCGACTTTCGCATCTTCGCTACTTAATTATAATTTTCAAGCATGCACGTGTAGGAGCTCATATATATCCACCTTTATATAATGATACAAATCACTCCTTGAAATTTTGTGGGGCAGCAAGCAAGCGCCCAAGTTAGAGAGAGAGAGATGGCAGTGAACCAGAAGCCTCACGCAGTTTGCTTCCCATACCCAGCACAAGGCCACATTGGGCCAATGCTAAAATTGGCAAAGATACTTCACCACAAAGGTTTCTATATAACCTTTGTCCACACAGAGTTCAACTATGCTCGTCTTCTTAGATCCAGAGGCCCCGACTCTCTCCGTGGCTTGCCCACCTTCCGTTTCGAAACCATTCCCGATGGACTCCCGCCACCGCAGAACCCCGACGCCACCCAAAACGTCACCGACCTCTGCATCTCCACCACCGAAAACTGTTTGGTCCCATTTCGCAATCTTTGCCATAGACTCAATTCTATGTCGGACGTACCCCCAGTGTCTTGCATTGTCCCCGATGGGACCATGACCTTCGCGCTTCAAGTAGCTGAAGAATTGGGAGTTCCTGGTGTGTTGTTCTGCACGAACAGCGCATACTGCTTTTTGTGCTATCTGCACTTTCCTGAACTCATTCGACGAGGTTTCACACCACTTAAAGGTATGATAGCGTGTGTGTGTGTGAAATGAAAATGTTATCCTATATGCACCAAAAAAAAAGAAATTTCCATGCTTTAAAGTATGGAATCTGATACCTTGAATTCGGATTGGATGATAACTAATTCAAACTTTTCTCTACCCAATTCTATGACATCATCCTCGAGTTCTTCTTTATTCATATCTGTAATGTGATTTTTTTTTGGTTCCAACACACTCCCATAAATACTCTTTGTAACAATCATTTGTAAAAAAATAATGAAAATAATTCATTTATTTGACATAAATGTAATGCACAAAACATTGTATTTTAATATGTTGCAAGTAGTTTATTATCAAAAGTGAGTTTTAAATAATTTGTTATATGTATTAATATTGGTAACAATTAGTTTTTTTATTGGTTACAAAATTTTGGCAGGAGAATTTGTATTTTAATGAGGAAAGACACTAATGTTAATTTAGTAATAAATGACTTTACTGAAAAAAAGAAAAAGAAAAAAAGTGACCATAATTCAGAGAATATATACTTATCTGGAAATATTTCAAATAAGTATAATTTCTTGTGGTATAAATTTCTTATAGAACGAACTTGTGTTTAAAGGTTAAAGATAGGACTAGCCGGTAACTTCTTCTTTTTTTGTTACTTTTATTAGGTCATGTACTCCATGGCCCCATGAATATAATCTGACAGCTAATATGCATTCACACAGAGTTACACAGGCTATATTCCTGTAAATATAATGGTGCTCTAGTCTCTAGAAAGTAAAAACCAAGTATGATTACAGCTTGTGTTCCAAATGTAAATTCTAATGACATATAGTTTTACAGATGCGAGTTACCTGACAAACGGATATTTAGACACCGTTATTGATTGGATCCCCGGAATCAAAAGTATCCGCCTACGAGATCTCCCGAGCCATATCCGGACAACCAACCCGAATGACCGCATGCTCGAATTTGGTAACGGTGAAATTTCAAAAACTCACAAAGCCTCCGCAATCATCTTGAACACATTTAATGCCTTGGAAAGCGATGTTTTGGAGTCACTTTCGTCGATTCTCAAACGTATCTACACAATTGGACCTCTTCAACTTCTTCTCGACCGGGTCACAGATGATGATACAAAGACAATCGGATCCAACCTCTGGAAAGAAGATCCAGGTTGTCTCGATTGGCTCCATTCACAAGAACCCGAATCAGTGGTTTACATAAACTTCGGGAGCATAACAGTTGTGACACCCAATCAGTTGTTTGAGTTTGCATGGGGACTTGCTAACAGCAAGCAAAAGTTCTTGTGGATCATCCGACCCGATCTTGTCACAGGTGACCCGCTAGTTCTGCCACCCGAGTTTTTGACAGAGACTAAAAACAGAGGTATGATAGCAAGCTGGTGTGACCAAGAACAAGTGCTGAAGCATCCCTCCATTGGAGGGTTTTTGACACACTGTGGGTGGAATTCTACTATTGAAAGCGTGAGTGCAGGAGTGCCGATGAGCTGTTGGCCCTTCATCGCGGATCAGCAGACGAATTGTATGAATATTTGCAGGGAGTGGGGTGTTGGCATTGAGATTGATAGTGATGTGAAGAGAGAGAAAGTGGAGAGGGTAGTGAGAGAGCTAATGGAGGGAGAGAAGGGTAAGGAGATGAAGAAGAGGGTGATGGAGTTGAAGAAGAAAGCTGAAGAGGCCACTAGTCCTAGCCAAGGCTCTTCTTTCTTGAATTTGAACAAAATGGTAGAGGAAGTGCTTCTGCTTCTGCCCCCTAACAAAGTATCCCAGGCTTAAATTTAGCAGCAATAATTAATTATGTGTTTGATAAATTTCCATTTAAGTTTTAGTTCTTATGTAACTTGTGATAAATTTCCATTTAAGTTCCAGTTCTTATGTAACTTGTAGTTGCATGTTTAATATATATCCTCCTTTTGCCAGTTAACAAAAATAAAAAACTAGATACCTAATAAGAAATGAAAGTTGACGACAATTCGATCACTAAATACACAAAAGACATCGGAGAGGATATATTTCATTTGTTCAATGAGAGGCCTTAAACAAACGTTGATACTGATGGGGAGTATAGCTGAGATAAACAGAGAAGTTGATACTAATTGAGACACTGGCTGACTAACCTAAGAAAATTGTACTGGTCCTGGAAACCACTATTGACCACCCCTTGAGTCCTATGGGCCAAGAGAAAATCTCAACTAATTGAGGAAAGGTACAAGCTCTGGGAAAGCGTGTGATCAGTTTTCAAGAAAGGACTAAAAATTCTTATAGTGCAATTTTTACCCCATCACACACAAGACGTCCACAAGTCGATCCAACTTGTCCTCCCTGGAATGACGTCCACAAGTCGATCCAACTTGTCCACAAGTCGTTTTAACTTTCCCTATAAATGTTGTCTCATGGATAGACCATTTCGATAAATGTGCAACTATGTCCTTACAATTAATCCGAACCTACTTTTCCTGCATAGTTTTGTACATCCACCTTTATAAATGATCCAAATCTCTCCTCCAAATTTGCTGTGAGGAGGAAAAAACCCAAGTTACAGAGAGAGAACTAGAGAGAGATGGCGGTGACCCAGAGGCCTCATGCAGTTTGCATTCCATACCCAGCACAAGGCCACATTGGGCCAATGCTAAAGTTGGCAAAGTTACTTCACCACAAAGGCTTCTACATAACCTTTGTCCACACACACTTCAACTACGCTCGTCTTCTCAAGTCCAGAGGCCCCCACTCTCTCTGTGGCTCGCCAACCTTCCGCTTCGAAACCATTCCCGATGGCCTCCCGCCACCGCAGAACCCAGACGCCACACAAGACATCGTCGACCTCTCCATCTCCACCGCCAAAAACTGCTTGGTACCATTTCGTAATCTTTGTAATAGACTCAATTCTATGTCATCGTCGGACATACCTCCAGTGTCTTGCATTGTCCCCGATGGGTCCATGAGCTTCGCACTTCAAGTAGCAGAAGAATTGGGAGTTCCTGGAGTGTTGTTCTGGACGGTGAGTGCATACTGCTTTTTGTGCTATCTACACTTCCCTGAACTCATTCAACGAGGTTTCACACCACTTAAAGGTACGTATGTGTGTGAGTGTGTGTGTGTCTATATATATATTATATGAAATGAAAATGCTGTCTTATGCAATTTTTATAACTTGAAATTTTTTATCAGTTTAAGCACAAGAGTGTGCACTCCCTGAACTCATCCATACTGTTCTAATTTCTAACTATAGTAGTTGCCTAGACAGTATAGGTAAGGCAGAAAATTAGACTGACTTTGTGTCTTCGTTGAATTAAAAAAAAAAATTCTCGCAACATATATTCTTTTGGTGAATTGTCTGCCAGTTTATTGTAACTTCACAAGTGAAGATTGATTCAATGCACGAGAGATGCTAGGATCGCTCGACTAACAGTAAGGGATGAGTGTGAGATGATCCTTACGGTCCTCCCCTGGCATTGAATAAGATTTTAATTCTCCGACTGGTAAAAACATATAATTACAAGAATAGTAAGGGCATGTGATGGTTTTTATTAGGTCAGACTGCTGGGGAGTGGGGACCTCATCAATTTAATCTGACAGCTTAAATGTATCACACACAGAGGACCACACACTACACAGAAGAAACTGTACATCAACATAAGGCCCAATTGAACACTGGGCCAGATCCAAACATTACATGAAACCCACCCATTACAAAACTCCCACCCCAGCGACCTCAAGCTTCGTCTCTAACACTAGGAGGAATACAGCTCTGGTTGCCATCCAGAGCACCATTCATCTGGGTCTTGGTTTGATCATCGTTAAGAATGAAGGTAGGAGGAAGATTCCATTCCAGCATTACCCTTCTAGTCGCTGCCGAGTCCTTCCATTGCGTAGTTCCCAGTTTTCCTTTAATTGTTTCCAAGATGTAATTCATGACCTAGTTAGCATGCGTTTCTTTTCCCTTGATTCTTATATTTATTATTTTGATTTAAACTTTTAATCATAGTTTCCTCCCGCTAAAATGAATTTGGCCACGGGTGGCAATTATGAACCTGGTCTGTGGCTCAAATGTAAATTCTAATAATATTTAGTTTTACAGATGCAAGTTATCTAACAAATGGGTATTTAGACACGGTTATTGATTGGATCCCTGGAATCAAAAGTATCCGTTTACGAGAACTCCCGACCTTTCTCCGAACAACCGACCCAAATGATCGCATGCTCGAATTTGCCAAGGGTGAAATTCCACACTCTCACAAAGCCTCCGCTGTCATCTTGAACACATTTGATGCCTTGGAAAGCGATGTTTTGGAGTCACTTTCGTCCATTCTCAAACGTATCTACACAATTGGACCTCTACAACTTCTTCTCAACCGGGTCTCAGACGATGATACGAAGGCAATCGGATCCAACCTCTGGAAAGAAGATCCGGTTTGTCTCGAATGGCTCCATTCACAAGAACCTGAATCAGTAGTTTACATAAACTTCGGAAGCATAACAATCATGACACCCAATCAGTTGGTTGAGTTTGCATGGGGACTTGCTCAAAGCATGCAAAAGTTCTTGTGGATCATCCGACCAGATCTCGTCACGGGTGACCTAGTTTTTCCACCTGAATTTGTGACACAGACTGAAGATAGAGGCTTGTTAGCAAGCTGGTGTGACCAAGAGCAAGTGCTGAACCATCCCTCCATTGGAGGGTTTTTAACACATTGTGGGTGGAATTCTACGATCGAAAGCGTGAGTGCAGGAGTGCCGATGAGCTGTTGGCCCTTCTTCGCGGATCAACAGACGAATTGTATGCGCATTTGCACGCAGTGGGATGTTGGCATTGAGATTGATAGTGATGTGAAGAGAGAGGAAGTGGAGAGGTTAGTTAGAGAGTTAATGGAGGGAGAGAAGGGTAAGGAGATGAAGAAGAGGGTGATGGACTTGAAGAAGAAAGCTGAGGAGGCCACTAGTCCTAGCGGAGGCTCTTCTGTCTTGAATTTGGACAAAATGCTAGAGGAAGTGCTTCTGTTCCCTCACAAAGTATCCTTGGCTTAGATTTAGCAGCTATATATAATTATGTGGGGTTTGATAAATTTCCATTTCAGTTTCAGTTTTTATGTCACTTGGGAGTGTTCTGTCACTCACCTAGTTGAACAATGCAACAATTCTCAGTTATGATTTCAGGTGGAATTCTATTGCATCCATTCAAAGTTTCAGATATGTTTCAATAATTTGTTGCATATTATAGGACAATTTTTCAATAATTAGTCACACATTCATGCTCTAATGCAAGGATGATGATGGTGATACTCATGCAATAATGCCTGATTGCCTATCCATAAACCATTTAAAACTCTATTTTTATTTTTTATTTTTTTATATCGATAAGACATTTATTTAATCGCATGCATAGCAAAAGACTAGACTAACTTTTAAATACTGCACTAGCAGCAGTACAACCAAAAAGATGGGCCTACAGTACACAAGCTTCACGACTAAAACAGAACCAGTAGGCCTGGCTACAATGGTTCAAACACGGGACCAACCGTCCCAATAACATGTACAGAGTCTACAGAACACAATGTATAGAATAGATAGACCTAATCTGACTCGGTAATGATACCAAACGTAGCCAAACCCAAAGCTAAGATTAAAGGATTTAGAAATAAATAAATAAAATGCATGATTTCTTGTAATTTTAAGCCAGAAATGCGTGACTTTACAGCTAAAACAAAAGCAGGAAATTGGCTTAAAATGCGTGACTTTACAGCTAAAACAAAAGCAGGAAATTATCGAAATGAATTATTTCATACTTTCATTAAAAATCATGTCAATGCAAACACCTCCATTGGGAGATAAGGTGTGACACTCAATTGATGTAGCTCCACCATATGGTAAGATAGGGACCTGCTAATCAAATTAGAGGAAAGAAGAAAAAAGAAAAAGTAAAATAGATGAAAATTAGTTTGGTACTCACTTATGATATATTTGAGATGACCAGAATTAATCTTTATAATAAACTGCTCAAGTACAGCAAGCAAAGCAGTTGGATAATCAAATTTGATTCTCTTCATTTTAAAATCCAGATTACTTACTACATGAAAAGATATTATCCCAAAATCAATACTCGATGCATATATAAATGGGAAAGCAGTTCCCAATTCAAAAGGAATATCGATATTTTAAAAACCATATGAAATAATAAGGGCCTGGTAACTTTAATATGATTATCAGAATCAAAAAGTTCAATTTGTTAAGCAAAGTATCATAGTGAATTTCTAAATTGTCAAAACTGTTAGATATCTGATGAAACAGTAAGACGTCAAGAGTAAGTTGAGGAGTAATCAAAAGCAACATATGCAAATGCAAAACTAGAGAAATCAAATGATATTAAGTGGTTCAGCCACTAGGGCCTACGTTCACGGAGAAGAGGGGGATTCTTCTTATTCAGTATGTCTCAGTGAAGATCACAGCAGCACAATAAATAGTTTATTGTTCTAATTAAGGAAAATCCTCAATTAAGGAAAATCAGTGGTATCACGAGTTAAGGAAATTACCATCAATCACCATATCAACCCATAAATAAAACAAATCCCATAAATCTCTCTTCTCCACCAACAGAAGTTGATCTGATTGTATGAAGAAATAAAGACATGTTTTCTTCAAATAATAAAATGATAAGTAATGTTGCATTGGTCATTGGTGACAAGCGGAGGCATGGAACTAAGCATTATAGTAAAAAGACATCCAGCATGAAAAATTGAAAATAGATTGCTTGATCATTTTTATTATTTGTTATTAGAGTTGGATTTGGAGGCCGGTCTAATAGAATGTTAGATTATGACGTTGAAGTATAATAAGATAAAAAATATACATATACAATATTTTTTTTTAATCATAATATATAATGAAATAAGAACTTAATATTGATTAATAATATTTTTGCTTATTATATTTACAATTGTTCTTGACAAATTTTTATATTAAGCAAAATTTTCATATAAATTTAATAGAAATTTTCATAAATTTAAATAACACAATTATACAATTGTTCTTTTTTACTGAACAAATTATGCTTTGTAGGATGTATATATTTCATTTTGCAAGAAAGGAATCATCGTAGATCATCTTTGTCCATGGAATCGAAGAAGAAACAAATCTTCAAAGCTATTTGAAATTGCCTTCTTTCGATCCGTTTGGTGTGCCTAATCACGATTTGGATCTTCCTCGATCCGTCTAAATAACCGAAACATCAATAGGTTCTTCCTCGATCCGTTTGGTGTGCCTACTGATCACGATTTAGAAATGAGAGCTCTGTTCCAGAATATGTCTCTGTGTTTGCTGGCTTGCCCCAACTTTTTTAATTTTCAGTTGGTTCTCAACGGTAGTTTGTCTAATTTGGCTTGGGCAGATTGGTATGGGTTTCATTATGTATTCTCAAAGGGACAATACTTGGTCCTGCCCTTTCAGGACGAATTTTGTCTCCAAGGTGACATGGACCAATAAACATTCGACACCTATTCATCTTGACTAATCATGCAAAAGTTGATACTGATTGAGACACTGGACCACCCCCAAGGAAATTCTATTGGTCCTAGCTCACACAGAGAACGTGAAAATTTATTAATTTTCATGGTGAAAAGAAGCATAGAGATATGATCAATTTGCAAGAAAGGGCTAAAATTTCTAAGAGTGTCCTTATTAGCCGAATAGTTATTGGGTTTGCCCGGCGCACTGTGTACCGAGTTCATCTGAGCTGTACGTGCACAACACACGCCTGCGAGTGCATAACACTTACGGCTCAGATGAGCCTGATGCACGATACACCGGGCACCCCCAATACCTTCCTCCTTATTAGCCCTTAGCACACACAAGACGTCTAAGTCCAACTTGTCCTCCCTTGAATGGTAATCACAGAAAAATCAGAATAGGATTGTTTCTAGCCAGAGCTCAACCTGCATATATTCAAAAAAACTGTACAAGAGATGGGCCTTAAAAAATTGGACAATGTGCAATAATGGATTGGACATGTTGCCATCGTGTCCCTACAATTAATTCGACCTTTCATTACTTACTTTTCATGCATGAACATAAAATTTTATACATCCACTTTTACATATTGATACAAATTTCTCCCCCTTGAAATTTGCAGTGACGAGGCAATTCAGTACCCAAGTGAGAGAGAGATGGCAAAGACCCAGAGGCTTCACGCAGTTTGCATACCATACCCTGCACAAGGCCATATTGGGCCAATGCTAAAGTTGGCAAAGCTACTTCACCACAAAGGCTTCTATATAACCTTTGTTCACACAGAGTTCAACTATGCTCGTCTTCTCAAGTCTAGAGGCCCCCAATCTCTCCGTGGCTCACCAACCTTCCGCTTCGAAACTATTCCAGATGGGCTTCCACCACCACAGAACCCCGACGCCACCTAAGATGTCATTGAGCTCTGCATATCCACCGCCAAAAACTGCTTGGTCCCATTTCGTAAACTTTGCAATGACTCAATTCTATGTCGTCGTCAGACGTACCTCCTGTGTCTTGCATCATCCCCGATGGGACCATGAGCTTCGCGCTTCAAGTAGCTGAAGAATTGGGAGTTCCCGGTGTGTTGTTCTGGACGGTCAGTGCATACCGCATGTTGTGTTATCTGCATTTCCCTGAACTCATTCAACGAGGTTTCACACCACTTAAAGGTATTATTCTCTCTCTCTCTCTCTCTCTATATATATATATATGAAATGAATTTGCTATCCTATATATTCGATATTTATAAATTGGAAAAATTTCTCAGTTTAGTCCAAGGTCGTGCAATCTCTTGGGGGAATGTTTTATAAGGACAATTTTGAGATCCATACAATCCTAACTGTCCTATAAGTGCCCTAACTGATAGAAAAATAAAATTACAAGTATAGTATGGGCATTTGTTGAGCACAAGGCTTTGCAGTCTTTGATTACATGAAAGTGGCACACATGTTAATCCCACTTTCATGTAATCTTTGGCTTTGCTGCCTTATGCCTAACAATTCGGTGTGTTTTTTTAACTTTAAATATCATTTTTCATATTGAGGAAAATGATTAGAGTGAATTGTTTAAATTAAAGAAAAAATTATTGGTCATTTAATGCACAATATAAGGAAGTGTGGCACTCTACTTGCTTGTATAGTGCAAACATGATCAATCAAAATTATTCGGTCAAACAATTTACTATAATACTTCCTCCTAAAAATAACTGCTCTAATCGGACAGCTATATGCATATATGTAGATTTTGGTTTCTTAGTTTTATGTTATTTTGGTGTTGCAAACAAAAAAAGAAAAAGTATATGTGTATTAAATGTAAGATTTGTGTGGGAGAGTGGAGGACCACAATTCAACGAATTGTCACACGAGTACGTACCATCCCTATCTATGGTAATGACGTAGCACTAAGTCACTAACCAATGGCAGAACTACATAGTCCTTTTTATCAATTCAAAGTTAAAAGTCCCATTTTGAAAGAATGAAGAAGAAAAAAATAAAAAAAATAAACAAAAGTCACATTCCTTTTCTCAGGACCGTCACCAAGGTCCCAGCCAATCAAATGCATTTATTAGGCCTCCCAAAAAAAAATTATTCCCTTATATTTAGACCTCATCTAATGGCATGTATTGATGTGAGTGGTACAATTTAATTCATCATATTTTCATTGGATAAGTGGTATTCTACACCTAAATTTTCTCCACTTCTCCTCTTTTCTATTTTTTTAAATCTTTTTTTACTTGTATTAAACTCTTAATTTTTATTTATTTATTTTATCCTTATCCCTCACTATCCTCATTCCAGACTAATTATCTTATATTCCTAACCAATTCCATGTATTAATAGTAGTCCCTACAATTTAATTTCTATTTAAAGGATAATTGGTATTGAAAAGTGATAAAACAATTCATCTACCCCTGCCTTTTCAAATTATATTGAGCTGGCCCTGCCTTTTCTTTCCGAGAGGACTCCAAAATATTTTTTTTAAACCCAAAATTCAAACAAACCACACATCCATAATATATTGCCCCTAATAAGGCTCCAAGCCTCCAACACTCTACCTCCCCTTTGGGGAAGGGGAGGAGAAATTATATGATATCTAAAAGCCACTGATTTTTAATTTTTTTAACATCATTACCCATCCCACATTTCTAGATACAGAAAGGACCCCTCAATATTTAAATTTTTTTTTAACATCATTGGTGTTGGGAGATTTTGACATCTACAATAGGGTCACATGTGAGTGATCAGTAAAATTAAATTTGTTTTTGATTAATTAATTTATTTTCCGATTGTCTTTGATTATTACTTGATTATTCAAGAACTAATTAAAGAGGTTAATTAATATTTAAATTATTTTAGCAAATTTGTGAAACTTTTGATTAGTAAAAAATAAAAAGAAAATTATTAATTAAAAGATTAATGGATCCATATATTATTTTATTTAAAATTTTAGTCCACAAAATTCTATTGCTATTTTGGATTTAAGTAAATTATGTTATTTTATTATTCATCCATTAAATATGAATTCTTAATTAGATTTAATTATATAAATTCATTTTTTTAACTGTAATTTAAATATATTAATATAAAATTTTTTATTTTATATTTATTATTTTTGTTTAATTTTTTAAATGATATTTTTGTCAAAGGTTGCCACCATTGAAATGAATTTCTGGCATGGCCACTGTTGTCTCTAATTGAATATAGTCTGTGGCTCAAATATAAATTTTAATACTTTTAAGTTTCACAGATGTGAAATACCTAACAAACGGGTATTTAGACACCGTTATTGATTGGATCCCCGGAATCAAAAGTATCCATCTCCGAGAACTCCCAACCCTTATCCGAACAACCGACCCTAATGATTGAATGCTTGAATTTGCCAAGGGTGAAATTCCACAATCTCACAAAGCCTCGGCTGTCATATTGAACACATTTGATGCCTTGGAAAGAGATGTTTTGGAGTCACTTTCGTCCATTCTCAAACATGTCTACACAATCAAACCTCTTCAACTTCTTCTCAACCGGGTCTCAAACGATGATACGAAGCCAATCGGATCCAACCTGTGGAAGGAAGATCCGGCAAATGGCTCCATTCACAAGAACCTGAATCAGTAGTTTACACAAACTTCGGAAGCATAACAATCGTGACACCCAGTTGGTTGAGTTTGCATGGGGACTTGCTAAAAGCATGCAAAAGTTCTTATGGATCATCAGACCCGATCTCGTCACGGGTGACCCGCTAGTTATTCCACCCGAGTTTGTGACAGAAACTAAAGACAGAAGCCTGTTAGCAAGCTGGTGCGACCAAGAACAAGTGCTGAACCATCCCTCCAATGGAGGGTTTTTAACACAGTGTGGGTGGAATTCTCCGATCGAAAGCATGGGTGCAGGAGTGCCGATGAGCTGTTGGCTCTTCTTCGCGGATCAACAGACAAATTGCATGTGTATTAGCACGCAGTGGGGTGTTGGCAATGAGATTGATAATGATGTGAAGAGAGTGGAGGTGGAAAGGGAAGTTAGTGGAGGGAGAGAAGGGTAAGGAGATGAAGAAGAGGGTGATGGAGTTGAAGAAGAAAGCTGAGGAGGCCACTAGTTCTAGTGGAGGCTCTTCTTACTTGAATTTGGACAAAATGTTAAAGGAAGTGCTTCTGTCCCCTCACAAAGTATCCTTAGCTTAGATTTAGCAGCTATATATAATTAATTATGTGGGATTTGATAAATTTCCATTTAAGTTACAGTTTTTATGTCACTTGAGTGAGTATATATTCTGTCACTCAACTAGTTGAACAATGCAACAATTCTCTATAAAACTTGTAGCTGCATGTTTAGTCTATGCCACTGTTTGCACTTTAGTCATGTTGACTTCAGGTGTAATTGTATTGCATTCATTCAAAGGTTCAGAGATTTTTCAATAATTAGTCACATATTCATGCAATAAGGCAAGGATGGTGATGGTGATGGTGATGGTGATGGTGATGGTGATACTCATGCTATAATGACCGATTGCCTGTCCATAAACTATTTAAAACTCTATTTTATTTTTCATTAACATCGATAAGACATTACATACAAAGATGGGCCTACAGTACACAAACTTCGCCACTAAAACAGAACCAGTAGGCCTGGCTACAATTGTTCAAACACGGGACCAACTGTCCCAATAAGGTGTACAAGGTCTACAGAACAAAATGTATAGATAGACTTAATACGACTTGGTAATTATACCAAACATAGCCAAACCCCACACTACGATTAAAATATTTTAAAATCAAATAAATAAAATACCTGATTTCTTGAAATTTATGCCAGAAATGTGTGACTTGACAGCTAAAACAAATGCAGGAAATTATTGAAATGAATTCTCTCATACCTTCATTAAAAGTCATGTAGCTCCACCATATATAGTACGATATGAACCTACTAATCAAAATTACAGGAAAAAGAAAAAGAAAAAGTAAGACAAATGAAAACTCAGTCTAGTACTCACTTAAGATATATTTGAGATTACCAGAATTAATCTTTAGAATAACCAGCTCAAGTACAGCAAGCAAATTTATCAGTTTGAATTAAAATAAAATTTGATTCTCTTCATTTTAAAGTCTAGACTACTGACTACAATTAAAATAAAATTTGATTCTCTTCATTTTAAAGTCTAGACTACTGACTACAATTAAAATAAAATTTGATTCTCTTCATTTTAAAGTCTAGACTACTGACTACATGAAAACCAGTCCGTGCTGAATATTATCCCATAAATCAAGTCTCGATGCATATCAATATTTTAAAAACCAAAAGACGTCAAGAGCAAGTTGAGGAGTAATCAATCAAAAGCAACATACGCAAATGCAAAACTAGAGAAAGCAAATGGTAAACAAGTATCTCTCATCATAATCCACTGTCACATTCTCCTAAAGGTAATAAACTTAACATAAAGATCACAAAAAAAAAAAAAAAAAAATGAAAAATATACCCAGAAATTACGAAAACTTATATATTTAAATTAAATGCTTGAGATGTCATACTTGGACATATGCCCTTCAATTCATCGATCAATAAGCTCCTGGACATTCTTGTGATCAGAACAGAACCACTCACCAAATAGTCGGTACTACCTTTGCCCCCAAAGCTAGCTTGTCTGAAAAGAATCCAACAAAATTAATCACCATCCCGATATCATTAAACAATCTTAAATTAAAATAATTAATCCATTAAACTCCGTGGGGAAGGGAAAAATATATTTCAAAAATTAAACTTACTCGGATCGATAAGGATTAGGGTTATTCTGGGTTGGGGATTATTCTTCCGAGCTCTAGCTTCAAACAAGAACCGACCTTAGCTCAGTTGGTAGAGCGAAGGACTGTAGTTGGTGATTATCAGACATCCTTAGGTCGCTTGTTCGAATCCGGCAGGTCGGATCTTTTTTCCTATTGAAATTTTTTCCCTTTTATTACCAATTTACCACCTAATGGTTTTACTATGTAAATTAGTAAAATTCTAAAATAGTCTTTTAATAATCAATGTTTCGTATTAAAATTCCTTCCTTATCTTTAATAATCAATGTTTTATTAAATTAGTTTTTTTTTTTAAATTTATTTTGTCTTAAAGTTATTTTTAATTTTTCAGTTTTCAAAATGTCTTTATTTATACAATTTGAAAAATTTATGGTATTTTTTTTTTAATTGCTCAGTCCAGTATATAGGCTAGAGGTGGAGCCAAGAGGGCCAGACGAGATCAGAAGCCAATAAATAGGAGGCCCATTTACTAAGAAGGTGTGGGCTGGCCTGTTACATAACCAGATTGGGCTTTCATGATTTGTTGATGTGTTGAATGTCCCAACCTTTAGGCTACCACTGTCATGCTATAAATAGATTTTAACTTTTTAGTTTACTCTAATATTTCAAAATTTTCAACTAACATTGCTCTTTTCTTCTAAAATAATGTGAATTCAAATAATATAAATAAAATAGACACTACATGATTCACTTGAGTTTATAATCAACGTCATGCCATGCAACCCTTCCCACTATTGTTATGATGTAAAATGACTATAAATAAAATTATTTAGGCATGAATTCAAACATTCTTTTTATAAATATTTCATTTTCATAATTCATTTACTTCACATTATTTTATTTAATCTTATTGCCAATTTAATCTACACAATTTTATATTTGTGCTTGATTTACCTCTCAGCAGTGTAGATTTAGATGAAAAGATTTTCATGTAATAATCGGACGAGAACGCGTTAGGTTTTTATCATCAATTATTCAAACAAACGTGACAATATATCAATTATAAATTAAGCAACTCGAATTAAAATAGTCGAGTGAAAATTGAATTGATACTGGATTCCATCGAGGTAACATAATTAGTCCGCGAATAGAATTATTTCCTACGTACCATCTTTACACACGTTTTATGTTTTGATTTTGGTATTTTTATAATCTGACATAAATATCCATTGTCAAATTGTAATATATACAACATTCACATTTAAGTTCTTGCATTTAACAAATAATTTTAATGAATTTAGTGCTAAAAAATAAGACAATATCAAACAAGTTTTCAAATTAATATATTTAGCACTTAAAATTTGTGCGCTTAAATTTCAGTGCTTACAATTATTTTCAGTGCTTAATTTATAGTCTTATCAAATAGCACTTTAGTCCCCGTATTTTTTCAGTCCAAGTATATATATTTGATTTTAAATGGAAGTCAGGCAATTAAATTGATTTATAATTAGAAGTAGTTCTGAAAATCATATACGAGGTGGGATTCAAGTGTCATAAAAAGTTTTTTTTTTAAATTTGTTGAGAGCAGTTTCGAATTTATATGCTATGTTTGGGGTGCAGGAATAGAATGGAATACAAGTGGTAATGAAATGAGAATGGAATGAAATGGTCATTCTCATTCTATTATTTGGTTGTAAATATGAAATGTATAGGAATGAAATGATAATAATCATTCTAGTGTTTGATTGGACCAATTTAAAATTTAGAATGGAATAAATTTCTAATAGAATTCTCAAAAATATCCCTTTTAGTAACAAATAAATTAAGTTAATAAAATGACATCCTCTAATAATTTTTTAAAAATAAATGGTGGCAATGGCGGTGGTGGATAGTGGTGTAGGTGGTGGCGTCGGAAAGCGGTAGTGGTGGCAATGGTGGAAAATGCATGGCTGCATCGGTGGTGGTGGAAGGTGATAGTGGTGTTGATGGAAAGTGGTGGCAGTAGTGTGGTGGAAGGAGATAGTGGTGCAATTATGGTGGTGGTTGAAGGAAGTGGAGATGGCGTTGGTGGTGGTGGTGGAAAGTAGTGACGATGGTGGTGGTGAAAGGCGGTGGCGGTAACGGTGGTGGTGGTGAAAGGTGGTGGCAGAGGTGGAAGGTGGCGGTGGTGGTGATGGAAGACGATAACGGTGGTTGCGGCGGTGGTGATGAAATGTGGTGGAAAGCGATGACAGTGGTGGTGACGGGGGTGGTAGAAGGCGGTGGCGGTGATGGTGGTGGTGGTAGTGGAAGGCGGCAGTGGTGATGTAGGTGTAATACCCCTATTTTCCAAAAGGATAAAATTAAAATTTAACGTTTATTTTTGTGCATTTTTAATTAATTTTTGTGTCTATTTGCTTATGTGTTTAATTGTTTTATTTCTATTTGATTTAATTGTTAATTGTGTATTTGAATTTGTCTTACGTGATTAATTATTCTATTTAATTGGAATTAATTATTTAATGAAATTATTTGCTTTATTTGTATTACTGGATTTAATTAAATTATCTGAATTATTTTTATTATTTGTGTGTCCTTGATTTATTAATATAGATGTTTAATTATTTAATTACGTTAATAAAGTCTTTAGGGATTTAATAACTGAAACTGTTAGAAGTTCTGTAGGTGGAAGCAACAAAGTTTCTAACGAGGGTTTTATCCTATGGGCCGACTAGGGTTTAATTAGATTAGGGTTTCTGTCGTGGATTAGCATTGGAATTAGGTTTTATCTGTGCCTATATATATATGGCAAAACACAGAAAGATACAGAGTGAGGGTTTGAGAGAAACAGAGCAAGTCTGTGAGGTTTCCGACTGAGGCTTCAAAGTCAGACCTAAGAGAAGGGAAGAGCAGAAGTAGAAGGAGGCTAGACAGTAACTCGGTGTTGCCGGAACAGTGGACACGACGCCGGGATTTCAACTGAAATCATGGGTAAGTTCTTTTCTTCCTCATTCCCTTTGGCTTATGTTCTGTGCACCTAGGTATGCTCTAGGGTTTTAATGGATCAATAACTAAATTGTGCATGTTTTTATATGTCAAATTAATCATATTTTTGCCTTGAATTAGTTCTGTGATGATTTTTGAAAGTTTGGTTACAGTACTTGTTTTTATAAGCATACTATAATTGGTAGGTGTTAAAGGATTTTAGTAATGCTATTTGGTATGAATAATGAATCTGGATGATATTGGACATACTTGGGACATCTAGGTTCAGGTTTAAAATAAACAGAGAGGGTTGGAAGCAGCCGGAGTCGGGGACGAAGGTCGTAGAATGTAATACCCCTAATTTTAAAAAGATAGTCTCGGTATTTATTTATTTATTTTAATTGTATTTTTAATTTTTTTAATTGATTATTTGACTAATTGCTTATGTATTTAATTGAATTAGGTATTACTTAATTATTTGATTATGTATTTATGTATTATTTGTATTTGTCTATGTGTTAATTGTTTAATTAGATTATGTGATTAAATGGTGTTTTGATTAACTGTAAATTAAATGTTTTCTTTTCTTTTATTATTATTATTTTTTTTTCTTTAATGGTATGGTTAGTAGTAATGGGCCAACCAATTGGATCCCATGGACTACTTGGATAGGAGGTTGGATGTATACAGATTATTACCCATGGATAGTTGTGTATGTATATATATAAATATATATTATATATATATATATAAAGGAAAGTAATTTATTAATTACTTTTATGGTAACTTGGGTAGTAATATTTAATCTGATATATATGTTTTATATTTAAATAATAAAAATATACGTAGATTTTATACGTGTTATGTTTTAAGTTACTTTATAATATTATGGTAACTTAAGTATTATTGGATAATCTATTAATAAATAATGGAATGTGTATAATTTATTTATTTAATAAACATATATATAAATTATATACGTACGTAACATATTTTACTTACCTTTTTAATATATATAAAAGGGAAAGTAATTTATTAATTATTTTTATGATAACTTGGTTAGTAATATTTAATCTGATGTATATGTTTTATATTTAAATAATAAAAATATACATAGTTTTGATACGTGTTATGTTTTAAGTTATTTTATAATATTATGGTAACTTAAGTATTATTAGTTAATCCATTGATAAATAATGGGATGTGTATAATTTATTTATTTAATAAACATATACATAAATTATATACTTAACATATTTTACTTACCTTTTTAGTATATATACAAGGGAAAGTAATTTATTAATTACTTTTATGGTAACTTGGATAGTAATATTTAATCTGATGTATATGTTTTATATTTAAATAATAAAAATATGCGTAGATTTGATACGGGTTATATTTTAAGTTTCTTTATAATATTATGGTAACTTAAGTATTATAGGATAATCCATTAATAAATAATGGGATGTGTATAATTTATTTATTTAATAAAAATATACATAAATTATATACGTAACATATTTTACTTACCTTTTTAATATTTTATATTTTATTTTTTTTAAGTTGACTTGGATTGGGAAAAGGGTTAGGGTTATTTTATTTAGCTTATAAATATATAGCTATAGGTTGTAAAAGGGGGTGAGAAATATTCACGTGATATATTCTAGAGAGAGAGAGTTAGAGAGGGAAAGAGGAAAAAAACCCTGTAGAGAGAAGATCAAGGAAGAAGAAGTTTAACTTTCGATCCGAAAGTTTAAGGCAAGTTCTTCTTCTATCTCTTTCCCTTTGATTCGTGTTTCTATACATGCCTAGGAAATTCCAGAATTTATTAAACACATAAAATTAAATAATTATGCATGTTTAATTGGATTAGAACATAGGTTTTATGAATTTTGTTTATATATGTTCTTGTGTTATGAATTGATAAATGCATGATTTTGATTTGATTTCCGGTGTGAATTTTTACATGTTTAAATTATATATTTTTCATATCTGTGGAATGATGGAACGTAGAAACATGCCTAGGATTCCTGAACATTAAATAGAAACTAGGTTTGGGTTTAAATAAATTTAAATAGACTCAATCATAATGATGCTTGCTATTTGAATGTTTTAAACAAACGAATGAATTTAATCTTTTAATATGTTTTAGCAATTGAGATTAAATGTGTAGGATGAATTGGATATGGAGAATACTTATTTGACGGTATAATAAAATATCATCATGTATATAAGATTCAGTTTATGTAGGACATATGATATAGGAAGCTTAAATAAATAATAAGTCATTTCTATTTTGTGATAACTTGATATCATATTATCATAGTTATTTCTGGATTGTTTGATGTATTTCCTTAATCGTTACATCAATTGTTGGATTGTGTGGTTTAATGCACCGGTATGGGACGGTGGCATTCTAGGGACGGATTAACTTATCAGTTAAGTCCTACCTATTTTATATAAGGGAATGGATTAACTAAAATGTTAAGTCCTACTTATATTCAAGTCAGGTCAGCTGAACAAGTTGAATGACTTATGGAGGATTAATTTATACTGAATATGATGGTTACTAAATTATATATATATAAGTATGGTGCCATGATATGAGCTTGAGTCTCAGGATCAGTGGTTAGGGTGCGTATATCGCCAGGGATGTGTAGCTAGATATAGTGTAGTTGTGTACCTTGGTAGGTCTAGGTACTCATGCCCACTATATGTGCGTTTTGCATGTTGCCTACTATTTAGGTTGAGACAACCCTATACTCTAGTGAGGTTCCTTTAGTGTGTGTATATATATATATACAGATTACTAGTTACTGTTGGATTGACTAGGATGTATACGTGTATCGGATCTCTGTTTGGACTGTAGTAGAGTAGAATTTGTTTGTGGGCCTGACCCACCATTATTTTTCAGGTGTTCATCAGGAGTAGAGGTTGTTCGTGCTGAGCAGGGATCAGTCTACTTCATTCTTCCGATGCTATATAGGAGTTCCTTTATGATTCAGTTTCCTGATTTAGACAGTTATTGTTGTCATTTGTTTAGTTTGGATTTTCTAGGGGTCTACACAGTATGGATTCCTAAGTCAACATAGGAGGATCAGTTGTATCAGAAGAGTTTATTAATTAATGGAAATATATTCTGAGATTTATTATTAGATTATCATTTTAGTTTCTTGTCAACATTTTATTTATTCTTCTTTATTCTTTTGTACTATGTGTTCGTTTATTATCAATTTGTTTTGATATCCTCGGGTATTCGGGCGTGGGCCTGGCCAACCCGCATTCAAAAATCCGGGGGGTATCACATAGAATTCATAAAATTGCGAACGGCTCTCAGAGAGGGAGAGAGCCTGCTCCAAAAGGAGGGAACCGGCTCCCCCCAATTGTAGAGCCTGCTCTAGGAGAGGTAGAGCTGGCTCTACCCTCTTGGAGACGGCTTTAGGAATTCTTGGAGCCTTCTCTTTTGTTTTTTGGAGCCTTCTCTCTTTTTTTAGAGCCTTCTCATTTTGTTTTTGGAGCCTTCTCCTTTTTGGTTTTAGAGCAGTCTCTCACGAGGATTGATTTTCTGAAGTTTTAGGTGATGTTTGGATGTTTTTAATTTGGTCTGGACTGTGTGGTGAGCATACTGGGGTTCTTAATACTAATTTCAAGTGTGGTTAAAGCCTCTTGTTGCATAGTTTATGTCTCTACACTAAATGATGGACAGTATAAAACTATACAATTTAACATACTAGTAACGGGTTGAAGGAATTGAATTGTTCTAAAATTTTGGGACTTCACAGAGGGATTGAATGGTTTATTTTGGGTGTTACTAAAACCTTAGATTGATCAAAGTTGGCCTCTGAGTCAGTGGGACAAACAGTATTAAAATAGTAAATTTTCTATACTGTTAACCGATGAAAGGGGGATTAATTGCTAAACTAAATTGTAGCAATTTAATGAGATTTAGGATGTTTATAAAACTTATTTTTAAATGCATGATAGGGTCATCTATGTATTTGTTTTGATCTATACATGCTTTGGGATGCTAATTGTCGAAATATTAATCTTTTTCTGCAATTATTTGGATTACTGTTGGATTGCAATTGCTAGAATAATAAAATATTTTCTGAAATTATTTGGATAATGGTTTGGACTGTAAATTACTAAATTATGATTTATATATTGTAATTTACATGAATATGGAGGATTATATGCACCAGTATGGGACGGTAGCATACTGGGGACGGTTTAGCTCAAAACGCTAAGACCTAACCTACCGGATGGAAAGTATGGATTGTAAAATATTGAATCCATTAATGTGTTTGAGTTGAATCGACTGACTAGGTTGAATGACTCCCTGGATTAACTGGTTGTAATTAAGACACATCAGCTGAATAAGTTGAGTGCTTATCTGGACGGTATTTTTGTATGTCTCTTCATTGAATAAGTGAATGACATACTCTGGTTTTTGGACGGACTTTAGATATATGATTATGGTACCACGAGATGAGCTTGAGCCTCAGACTCGTTAGTTAGGGTGCGTATATACAGTGGATGCGTAGCTGGATATAGTAGGTAGGTGTACCCTGTTAGGTCTAGGTACTCATGCCCACCTTTAGGTGCGTTTTCGCGTGATGCCTTTTATTCAGGTTGAGACCCCTATTGTAGTCCAGTGAATGTCCTTAGTGTGGATATATATATATATATATATATATATATATATATATATGGACTAAATAGATATAGTGAGGTATCTAGGGTGTATCTGCGTATCGGGTCTCTGTATAGATTGCAGTTAGATTAGAACTTGTTCGTGGGCCTGACCCACTATTATTTTTCAGGTAACGGACGGTTTCAGGTTGTAGATCTTGTTTGTGCTGAGCAGAGACGGTTACTCATTTTTCCGACGATGTAGGAGTTTTCTTCATGGTTTAGCATTGGAGTTCTTTAGTTGTTATTTTTTCGGTGTTGGAGTTTATTAGGGGTCCATCAGATGGATTCCCGAGTTGTATTAAAAATAGAAAAGTTGGATGTATCAGAATAATTCTTTATTTATAAAATTTATTCTGAGGTTTCAGTTTTGGTTTATCATTCTAGTTTCTTTTCAGCAGTTTTATTTATTTATATTTATCTGAATTGTATTCTGTGTTCATTTATTGCCAATTGGTTTGATATCCTCGGGTAGTCAGGCGTGGGCCAGGCCAACCCGCATCACAGTAGGGCGGTGGTGGAAGGTAGTGGTGGTGGTGAAAGGCGATGGCGGTAGCAGTGGTGGTAGTGGTGAAAGGTGATGGTGGCGGTGGTGGTGGAAGATGGTAAAAGGTAATGGTGGCGGCGGTGGTGGTGGTGGAAGATGGTGGCGGTAGTGGTGGTGGTGGTTATGGTAAACGATGGTGGTAGCGGTGGTGAAAGGCTGTGGTGGTGGTGGGAAGTGGTAGGTGATGGTGAAATTTGGTGGCGGCGGTAGTAGTGGAAGGCGGTGGTAGTGGTAATGGTGCTAGTGAAAGGCGGAGGTGGTTGTGGTGGAATACTAGGGTTTTTTGAAAATTGATTTTTTTTTAAAAAAAATACTTAGGAATGGAATGACCATTTTATAGGTTTAGTTGTGGAATCAATTTTCATTCTCAAGAATGGATTTTAATTCCAATGGAATGACCATTCCCACTTGAAATTGCATACCAAACAAAAGAATGGTTGGAATAGATATTCCAATCCATTCCATTATTGCACACTAAATATAAAGTATTACTTAACCACTATTATTTCTCAAGAATAGCTCGTAGAGGAATTCAAATCTCTCCAAAATTTTTTTCTCTTCATTAATATATTAAGACAATCCAAACATTCATTCGTACTACTTCATACTATCATTCCTTCTCCCTTATTTCCAAATCCCTTCAAATCATTCAATTCAAACATAGCCTTATTGTTTACTTCTATAAGTTTGATGTATGAAAACCATTATTGCTTTATTTAATCCCTTTATTCATTCTATGGACACTTGATGTGGTCCAAATGCATACATAATAACACATTTCTAGTGAGCTTGACTAACAATTATTCCTTTGTAATTTGTGATCAATAAACAATTGCCACTGCATTGTGAGAATAATCTGTCTTTTAAGTTTGGCCTAAAACAAACAAGAGCCCATCCCATCAACTTTCCATCCTAGAGAGAAAAACAGAAGAGAGCAATGACAAGTTCTCTTTCCTCCCTCCTCCTCAACACCATCCTCTTCCCCATCCTAGTTATACTCTTCACTGTACCCCGGCGCATGATAGCTCTAGACCCCGTGTGCCGGACCAAGTGTGGCCAATTAGAGGTCAAGTACCCTCTAGGCAGCGGCTGTGGCTGCGGCTCACCCCGGTTCCACCCATACGTGACCTGCACACCGGCTAGCGACCAGCTCCTTCTCACCACCCACACCGGCTCTTACCCCATAACCTCTATATCCTACACCACCTCCACCTTAACCATCACCCCACCCTCCATGTCCACTTGCACCTCCATGCAACCTTCCAAAACCAAACTGGGTCTGGACTGGGCCAGCCCGTTCCAGCTCGGCCCATCAACTTTCATCCTCTTATCCTGCGCACCACCCACCTCTTCCCTCACCATCAAGGGCACACCCATCTGTGATCCATCCCCCTCCTACCTCTGTGCCTCAATTTACACCTGTCCAGCCGTCGTCAGCATCGGATTACCGCTGTTTCCTCCGACAAACACGTGCTGCATCTACTCTCCGGCGAATCTCAATACGAAGGATGAATTAGACCTCAATGCGCTCAAGTGTTCAGGGTTTGCATCCATAGTGTCACTAGGCCAGGTTTGTACCATTAATCCTCGCCGATTTACTCTAAAAACTTAAGTTGTTAGATACCGGGTAATTTAATTATTAATATTCTGTAACAGGTACCAACGGACCCGAGCCAGTGGGAATACGGGGTGGCATTGAAGTACACACTGGGAGGGTGGGATAGTTACAATAGTGCCACCAGTTGTCATGATTGCGAGATGAGTGATGGGGTATGTGGGTATGCCCCTCCTGGTAATTCTTTTGTATGTGTTTGTAAGGATGGTTTCAATACAACTACAGACTGTTACAACTACAATCGCCTCCAAGGCATCATATTTAGCTCCACTTCTCAATCAACTTGTAAGTCTCTCTTTCTCTCTTTGTGGGATTTTTTTTTTTCCTCCTAAATACACGTATTATAGTCGAATTATGTATTACAAAATTTCTATATAGGTATATTATATATATTCAAGTAAACCGCAAAACTACATATGCCTATTTTTCAATGTCCCTGCAGTGAACATAAAAATCATGTTAGTATAGCACCCTACGCATATTTTATCTGAAATTGTACATGTGTCAGTGATATCTTTGAAACTAAAAGGCACATGAATTGCTGATCCTCTTGTGAAATGAAGTTCCTTTTTGGCCAGTGTGGTACATTTGTTTACACATATAAATTAAAAGCATCTTTATTCCCCCCTCCCCCCCCCCAAAAAAAAAAAAAGAAAAAAAAAAGAAAAAAGAAAAAAAGAGCATCTTTATTATGTGAGAGAGACACGCATACTTAATTAATTGGAGTAAAAAAAATTAGGTAAAATGAAAACTAGTTTTGACGATAGAATTTAGTTTGATTTTGTAATTCGATGGTTTTGCAGGGAAAATCTGGTTGGCGATTTTGGCTGGTCTAATTTTATGCATAACACGATGATGAGAGAGAGAGAGAGAGAGAGAGAGAGAGAGAGAGGGAGTCTTTCTGATCTTTTTGTGAGGTTCACTTTTAATTTCTTCTTTTGTTGGCATCAATTCTCAAGTTCCTCAAGAAATTATAAAGAAGTTGTTGGTATGGAAAAGAAGCGAAGGATGAGAATATTATCAACTAAAGGACTGATATATGGAATAAAGGTGAATTGTGACAGAGCATCTTCTGTGTGTGCATGAATTGACAATGTCCACCACATACTGAGTGTTCCAAGGTCGGGTCAAAATTGAAGTCCGGGTTGATCAGATGGACCCCTATTACTATTAAAAACCAATTTGGATTTTGGTCAAGTATTTTATTTTCAGAAAGAGGTTTTGGGGAAAGCCCTATGGTGATGGGTAATGGATTAAATGTTGGGCTTTGACTATAGAACTAGGTCACTTCAAAGCCCATTTGCCAAAATAGAAAAGGCATAAACAAAAGATGCTCATCAAACTAGTTTGTCATTAACCACCACCACCACCACCAAAAAAGAACTACGTAGTAGTTTGTCATGAAGGCTACATAAATATAATCTACAGACCTCCTGTGTTGAAAAGTTTCTCCTAGTGCTAAGTTCAACAATGCCAAAAATTTCTTAATGCAACATTGCAAAAAAAATTACATCACAACTAGCTAATAATATCTTATTAGAGTGATATAATGTAACAGAGCTTCAAAATACCTGTTTGAAGTGATATTTTTGGGGAAAAAGAATGGCTATCCCCTATGCCAGCTTACTAGCCATTTATATCTGATCTTTTGGCAGATTAAACGAAAAGAAAAATGCTTCAAATGTCTTTCTGCAATGTCAAACCAAATTAAATTATACCAATCTAGGAACGTGTTCTTGGGGCTGATGGCCGATGGGATATTTGTACATTCTGTATACATTATCATAAATATTTCCAAATCGCAAACTTGAAAATGCCAGTGCCTGTGCCAGCAGCAGTACTCCAAATCCTGGCGAGACTGATGAATCGAAAACCCTGATGCTGGCTATGTTTGACTTCCGCTGTTTTTTCTAAATGTTTTAGTCTGCCTTGCGGTTGTTGCTGTTATTTTCATGCTTAGGAGAAGGTAGAGACTCGATAAGGAATGACTTCATGTGTTTGTAGAGCTCTTTCGGCCTCTCCATATTGATAGCGTGTCCTACATCCTTAATAACTACTAGTTGAGCGTCCTCACCTAGATGCCTGTGAATTATAAAACAAATAATAAATCAAAACTCAACTTGGAAACAAGTCTTACGATTGAAAATGGGGTAAAAGCCCTGGTTAGTTGCTATGAACAATATTGGCAAAAGATGTCAAAATGTAAGAAGACATGCTATTCAAATGTTTCCTAATTGTCTTTGGTAATGGAATGCAGTATCAATGACATTGAATCGTAACTTATGTGATTTTGAATTTTTAAAATTTTCTAAAATGCAAGAAATATTATTTGACTAATAAAGTTCTTCAGATTGACCTTTTTAATCTGTGTCCCAATTCCAGTGGGAATATTTGATCTTGTTCCCCCCAAATTATTAGTGTGGGCTGCATCAAGGAGGAGTTATGCCATCAAGGGGGCTTGTCAAACTAAGCATTATGAAAAAGAACTATGTTAAAATTATATATATATATATATATATATATATATATATAAGAACCTGGGTAATCTTGGGAAGATCGGAGACTTTTCTGTCTTTGTGTAATGCAAGCATCAATTCTTTTTTTTCTTGACGATAGTCCGTACACAACACCTGTCCGCAAACCAAATTAAGAAACCAATCAGAGGCAGCTGAAGGATATAGGATATATCGCACTTGCTCACATCAATGAACATGTCTGCAGAAACAGTTCGAGCTAATTTTCTGAAGATTACTTGATCTGCAAAATGTAGTACTCTAACTCACAAAACATTTATATTCTATATATTGAGATAAAATAAAATAAAATAAAAATTGAAAAAAAATCAAATTGTTATTAATATAAGAGATGGAATCATTTGGTCATGAAGGAGCAGAAATGGAAGGCTAAAAAGAATTGTCAATTGACAAAAGAAAAAAAGAGATACCTAAAGGGATTATAAATCCAAGTTTCTCATATCAACTCGAGACACAGGAACTCAAAAGATTCAGTCTTTTCTTGGTGATACTATTGGGTTGGCAGCAAGATCGTTATCAGCAATTTTCTTTCCATGCCCTTCAGGCATTCATCTAAGTTCTAACTTCTACTTGCTTCATCACTCTTAATTAATCATTTGTACTAAATTCTTCTATATCACATATGTTAGTTAAATTCATCCTTTTGAATGTCTCATTTCAATTTTCACTCCCTTGCACAATTACTTGATCTAATTTGACACCTAAATGTAGTATATTAGCAAAAACCAAATACCTTGCTTTATGCTTGTACAGTTCCACAATGCATAGTCCTTAATTTGATGCTATTGGGTGAATAGACAAGCACAAATAAGGATGATCTATTCAGACCATGTGTAAAAGAAATTAGGTATAAGAGACCATAGTAGTAGCTCCAGAATATTTTCTTGCATTGTCTTCCATTGGAATACGTCACTTTCAACCAAATGGACAATAGTCCAGCTGGTACGAACCCACCTCCCCAAAGAGGAGGTCGGGGGCTCGAACCTTGGGTGGAGGCATATGTATATGAGTTTGTTCAACCTTCCAAAACAAAAAATATATATATACGTCACTTTCAATCAACCCTATGATTCATAGCACGCTATCTCCATAAAGAGAATTAATATAAGTAATCCCATTGCTAGAGGTGTCCCACATTAGATCCAGATGGAAAGTAAAATGGGTACGAATGCGGCACCATACAATAGATTAAGCTTTTGGATTAAAGTGCAAACCTAGATGATTCATAGCATGCTATCTCCATAAAGAGAATTAATATAAGTAATCCCATTGTTAGAGGTGTCCCACATCAGATCCAGATGGAAAGTAAAATGGGTAGGAATGCGGCACCATACAATAGATTAAGCTTTTGGATTAAAGTGCAAATGCTCGACCCATTACAGTTGGTATCAAAGCGAGACTCAGTTCTTGATCTGATCTCACGCCAAGCGCCCGACTGGGAGTCGTCCAAGTCCGCCTCCAGGTAGGTAGGGTGGCCTGACCTCAACGAAACTGTTGCGAGTTCGGATGGGAGGGAATGCACTACCCAATAACTTAAGCTTAGCTTAGTTATTAAAAGACTACCATGCTTGAATCTCTAACGAGACGGTAAAGATTTTTTATAATAAATTAGGCGAATCAACTGCACAAGTCTTTCAGGCTGTTTTGTATTCTTTGACAAGCTTCATAGCCATTTACTGATAATAAAGTAATAAAATATAACAAAGGTTAGCTTACTCGCCAACAACCCAAGCTGCCCTGAACTCATCACAAGCTTGAGCTGAGCGGCTGAGCCTATGGACATAAACATATCCAACCATAGAATGAACTCGATTTGGATCAGATCTCAAGTAAAGTTCAATCCCTTGAATCCAAATCCAATTTGAATCCAAGATAAAACTTTCATTTTATTATTTAGATTCAAAATTATAGTCAATTAATGCAACCAAAGATTCATGTGATGAAGCAAAAAGTTATGTAAATAAAGCTATTTTAGGGGCATAGGGGCATGGAATAAAGTGATTCCAATTCATCTAAAAGATGAATAAACAAAGAAATTTCAATTCTAAGAGACCAATTTTGTAATCAAATTAAATAAAGCAATTCCAATTATACGGCACCGATTTCATAACCAATTGAAAACAAATCAATCAATCAAAAGTGTTGATCAAAGAAATTAAGCAAATGTGACACTCACATCGATGAAATCATTGAGAAAACAAGAGGGCATGGTCTTGGGCGGCTTATAGAATGAAAGGCGCATCAACTCCCTCATCTTCTGCGGCGTCTGCGGCAACAAAATCTCGGTCGCCGCCTCCACACTCTGCACCTTAAACATCCCCTCCTCCATATCCTTGTCCTCCAAACACACCCCGGCGCAACCTATCACCACCCGCTCCACCGCCTCCGGGAACTGCGCCGCCATGCTGTACGCCACGAATCCGCCGTAGCTCAGCCCCACGACGCTCATCCTCCGCACCCCGTGCGCCTCCATCGTCCGCATCACGCACTCGGCCTGGAACGACTCGGTCCGCTCCGGCCGAGTCGTGGACGATTCGCCGAAGAAGACCAGGTCAGGAACATAGAGATTGAATTTGGAAATCAACGGAGACACAAAGTCGTTCCATTGCCACATTGCGTTCGCTCCGATTCCGTGGATGATGATCAGAGTGGGTTTTTTGGGTTTGTGCTTTCTGGGGACCCAACAGTGCATGACCGTGCCGTCGCCGAGGTCGGTGGTCCTCGATTTCAGGCCGGAGTAGCTGAATGAGTATCTGTAGCACTGATTTCTCGTCGACGCGAAGCTGAAACACTTGCCCATTGATTGAAGATTGAGCAATTAAGAAATTTGGTCAATAATCAAAATTAAGAAATCAATTGAAGATTGAGCAATTCCCTATTAATCGAAGTACAGAGAGAGCGAGATAGAAAAGGGTACAGGGAGTTTGACGTTGGTCCAACAAAAAAGTACAAAATTTTCTTCAGTCTGAGTTGTCAATGGGGTTTCCTTAATTAAACGGATGAGACGGTGTGAATAAGACGTTGAACGTGCCCAAAAGCCAAAATGAGCACATTTTCCACCAATCCAGCGGCTAAATAAAAAGGTGGGAGTTAGACCGGATCTCTTTGTTTTAAGTTAAGCAGATTTTGATAACTAACCTTAATAAGATTTGCCGGTTTTATTTTATATTTAGAGAGAAATGAGCGTAATTTACTTTTAAATATGGACTAAAATTGGCAAATCCAATTCACCAAGGCGTACAATCTTATCACGGATAACTTATTATCTTGTGAACGTGCTCCTGACTTTCAAATTACAATATAGACACAAATATAATAACTCTACTCCCTCTGTTATTCACTTATTTTATTTTAGAGATTGAAATTAAATAAACAACGCCGCTCTTTGTTGTGAGGTTGAACAACCAACTTAATTTAAAATTTATGTAGTGTTGTGAAAAGTGTGTTTCTTTAAAGAATTACTTATACGTAGAAGCAATAATATTTTATAAAATAAAATAAAAATATTTTCACGTAATTATGAGGTAGATAAATTTGTTTTTCAACCAAGTAGAAAAAAGATTACAATGACATTATTAGATAGAAAATTAGACTTTGAATGGCCTGGGATGCTTATCTTGACTGGTGGACTAAGTAGGAATTTTGGTTTTGGTCATACATGCCGTCTGTGCCTTGGTCTGGCCTAGTACATTGTCAACGGCCTAATAGTTGAGCTAACAAGTCAGTAAAAGAAGATTTTCCAGTTATACAAGACAAAACTTTAAAATGAGGCCAATTGATAATTTGATATATAATATGTTAATATAGATACAATGAAGTCAACATGAAAATCGTTGTGACACTGTTGATCATTTCATCCATTTAAGTCCTCTATGCAAACAATGTAGATAGCAGACTGAATAGCCTTTTCATCAGCACAAGGCCAAAAGAAAGACAGGATTTGAGTCCCAACCATCCACAAGACAACGTCTTCTAAGCTTATGACCTTATAAATAAAATAAAACAAAACTTCTAAGCATTTGAAGGTACCATCATGAAATCAGCGGAATTAGAAGATCAAATGGCTGGATAACATCATCATCTTCTCCATTGAGGCCGTGCCAGTTTGGACTACTGAAGTTATTTGAAGCTATGCAATGGGGCTCACTGAAACTTCGAGGGGCAAACATAAACTGTTCTATTCAATCATCTCTTCAGTCTGTTACAAAGATTTTGGCTGCAGCTCTGTAGTGTTGAAAGGACTACTACGTTTGTAATCTGACAATCCTGAATCCAGAAACAAAAAAACGGATAATAGGGTTGGTAACTTTGTTTCCATTTTCGGACCAGTAACGCAAAAGGACTTGTTCATCCATATGGACAACTGGTTTCGAGGCTGCAGTTTGGAAAGTAGCTTCTACTTCTAGGGAATGCTCCCAAGTGAATGAATTGTTGATTTTGGAAGACCGATCACTGCATCGAAGAGTCTTGAATTAGTAGAAGAGAACTGCCTGAAAAATTATCAGCTAGAACCCACGAGATTAACTCCAAATCAAATACCAAAGCTTTTTGCTATTCTGTGATGCAAATGACTATTTAGATCTGAAAATATGGAAGATCCTAGTATTCATTTCCCAACCCATGCCACAAAAGTTCGATTTTTGTCAACCCACGTAGCATGCAGCTTATGGTTCTTATTTTCAAACTGGAAAGCACAATTAAGACAAAGAAAGGACTCCGTTCAAATGTAGTTAACCATCACATCTCTGAAACCTCTATGATCTGTATCTAGGCCATGCTTCATCAATTGATCTCCCCAAACTTAGATCCTTGGAAGCCCAGATTTAAAAGTTGCGGAAGTTACTAAAATGCTTCATACCTTAATTTTAATAATAGTGCTCACCAAATTGTCTCAATAGTATGTGATTAAGAGAACATAACGAGAATCCATGCCCCTAGTCTCTATGTATAGCATTCACGATGATTCAGTCTACTTCAAAGCTTTAACATCCAGACAACCATAAGCTAGAGAAGACAATTATCTCCACCTTGTTACTCTATATGGATATAATGCTGATTCAAAAGAATTTAACTCTTACAGAATTGATGAAAAAGGGAATATTGATTATTGAACCCGTTCGTCTGTTTTTATAAAACGACGGACAATTTTTTATGTATCAAACCCTCGGTATTTCAATGGTTCATAAGAGTAAGCACAAAACTAATCAAAGATACCGAGAAAAAGAATATCTTGATAAGAACTTTGATGAATTCATTGCAAAACATCAAAAGATAACCGGAGACAAAAATCATCATGATTTGCTTACTCCTGAAAATATTTTATCATCTAGACGTTGTAGAGAGTTGAGAATTCTAATTTGTTTCAATTCAAAGAATAGAAATGGTATGGATAGAAATCCAGTATTTTGCAACGGGAACAACATAAAAGACTGGGGTCCATTTTTGGATGAAAATCCGCATCTTGATAGCGAGAAAAATAAATAAATTAAATTAAAGTTTTTCCTTTGCCCTAACTATCGATTAGAAGATTTAGCTTGTATGAATCGTTATTGGTTTGATACCAATAATGGAAGTCGTTTCAGTATGTTAAGGATACATATGTATCCCCGATTGAAAATTTGTTGATGGTACATTTTTCCTCTATATCCTCTATCATATCTAGTATCTAAAAGCAAACAAAACAAATGCGCACATGCCTTGTCTTACACTAATATACGATACTAATTCAATGACGTATCCATTAGATATAGAAATGAATCTTCTTTATTTTAGGCCTAAATTATTCTCTTTCGTAAGTGCAGAAATGTATTATCCTTTTGTATTCGTATCCGACTCCAATTTTAAATTGAATTGATTATTGATTCATTTTACTTGATAAAATTGGAATCCATAAAGAAATTTAGATTATTGTGTATATCAGATTAAAATGACTAGCCTTATTATTATTACTGATCGGTAAAATTAATATATGTAAAAGGAGGGTTCTTTTATGGTAAAAAATCCATTCATCTCGGTTATCTCCCAAGAAAAAGAAGAAAAGAGGGGGTCCATTGAATTTCAAGTATTCGTGTTCACCAATAAGATACAAAGACATACTTCCCATTTGGAATTGCACAAAAAAAACTATTTATCTCAGAGGGGTCTGCGGAAAATTCTGGGAAAACGTCAACGGCTATTGGCTTATTTGTAAAAAAAAAAAAAGTACGTTATAAAGAATTAATTAGTCAGTTGGGTATTTGACAAACAAAAACTCGTTAATTTGATGAGTCATTTTGAATTATTCGCTTAATTTGTGATGAACTTCTTTTCCCTTTCAGCAATTCATGGAAGAATGAATCGGGGAAAAACTTATGACTGCAACAGCTACAAGAAAAGACCTCATGATAGTCAATATGGGCCCTCAACACCCATCAATGCATTGTGTTCTTCGACTCATCATTACTCTAGATGGTGAAGATGTTATTGACTGTGAACCAATATAGGGTTATTTACACAGAGGGATGGAAAAGATTGCGGAAAACCGAACAATTATACAATATTTGCCTTATGTAACACGTTGGGATTATTTAGCTACTATGTTCACAGAAGCAATAACTGTATATGCACCAGAGCAGTTAAGAAATATTCAAGTACCCAAAAGGGCTAGCTATATCAGAGTAATTATGTTGGAATTAAGTCGTATAGCTTCTCATTTGTTATGGCTTGGCCCCTTTATGGTCGATATTAGTGCGCAGACCCCCTTCTTCTATATTTTTCGAGAAAAAGAATTAATATATGACCTATTCGAAGCTGCTATCGGTATGCGAATGATGCATAATTATTTTCGTATCAGAGGAGTAGCTACTAATCTACCTCATGGTTGGATAGATAAATGTTTGGATTTTTGCGATTATTTTTTAACAGGGGTTGCTGAATATCAAAAGCTTATTACGCGGAATCCTATTTTTTTAGAACGAGTTGAGGGGGTGGGCATTATTGGAGGCGAAGAGGCAATAAATTGGGGTTTATTAGGACCAATGCTGCGAGCTTCTGGAATACAATGGGATCTTCGTAAAGTTGATCATTATGAGTGTTACGATGAATTTGATTGGGAAGTCCAATGGCAAAAAGAGGGGGATTCATTAGCTCGTTATTTAGTACGAATCGGTGAAATGAAAGAATCCATAAAAATTATTCAACAGGCTCTAGAAGGAATTCCGGGGGGGCCCTATGAGAATTTAGAAATCCGATGCTTTGATAAAGTAAGGAATCCCGAATGGAACGATTTTGAATATCGATTTATTAGTAAAAAACCTTCTCCAACTTTTGAATTGTCGAACCAAGAACTTTATGTAAGAGTCGAAGCCCCAAAAAGGGAATTGGGAATTTTTCTCATAGGAGATCAGAGTGTTTTTCCTTGGAGATGGAAAATTCGCCCACCAAGTTTTATCAATTTGCAAATTCTTCCTCAGTTAGTTAAAAAAATGAAATTGGCTGATATTATGATGATCCTAGGTAACATAGATATCATTATGGGAGAAGTTGATCGTTGAAATGATAATTGATACAGCAGAAGTACAAGCTATCAATTCTTTTTCCAGATTGGAATCGTTAAAAGAGGTCTATGAGATCATATGGATGCTTGTCCTTATTTTGACTCTTGTATTAGGAATCACAATAGGTGTACTAGTAATTGTTTGGTTAGAAAGAGAAATATCAGTAGGAATACAACAACGTATTGGACCTGAATACGCCGGCCCTTTGGGAATTCTTCAAGCTCTAGCAGATGGGACAAAATTACTTTTCAAAGAGAACCTTCTTCCATCTAGAAGAGATCCTCGTTTATTCAGTATCGGACCATTCATAGCAGTTATATCAATTTTACTAAGTTGTTTAGTAATTCCTTTTGGCTATCGCCTTGTTCTAGCCGATCTCAGTATTGGTGTTTTTCTATGGATTACTATTTCAAGTATTGCTCCTGTTGGACTTCTTATGTCAAGATATGGATCAAATAATAAATATTCCTTTTTAGGTGGTCTGCGAGCTGCTGCTCAATCAATTA